ACAGGAAACAAGGATCAACTCAGAAATGTGATCCAATCATTAATTTACTAGTTAGCTGCGCAACAGGCTTTTAGAACACTACACAGCATTACAACTGTCACAAATAACAGTTATCAATTTTATGTTAATAAGACCCCCTAATTGTAAATGATGCTACATTATTCACAGCATATGTATGAAAAAAACACTATTTGTGAAACGGGGAGTTCCACAGATATTTCCTTATAGTACAGCATGCTTACAGTGTTTTTCAATGTGTACTCCGAAGTAATGCTGTCTATCTCTTCAATTGTGTAAGAGGAAACATCAAGGCCTGACGGCTGGCTGTCATTTATCATAAGCAGTTGGTAGTACTCTTCATTGGCTGCCAACACAGACACAAAACTTGTTTTACTTGGAGAAAATGCACACGTTCCCATATATTAATCATGGATCCTTTGCTAATTTAGGAATTCTAAAAAAGCACAGGTATTCAAGCACTTGCACAATAGGTACTAATTGTTCTAACGAATTAGAACACAATTACATATATATTATTTCAACCCTTTACGCTAGCATCTAAGGCTAGCTCCCATTCAAACCCGGCAGCATGTTAAAATCCATGGTGCTGCACACTGCTGTGCCACATTCATATTACTGTACATCCAATCTTAAAGTTCAGTCAAATTGAGCATACATAGTTCAGCGCTACTTGCGGAAATATCATGAAAATGCATTGCAAGCCTTTTACCTTTGACCTGTTTGACACAACGCAGCGCGTACTTCAGGGTGCTCAGTGTGCTGGACTTTCCCTTGCTTCTATTCTCTGGAGGGAGGTGCACTTTGAGCTCTTTAAGCGTCTTGATCAACTCTTTCTGGGTCTTGGCTTTGGCAGACTGTTCGCTACTGCAAGGTACAATTCAGAGAAAGGCATGGTAACTAGAGCGAGGCTATTTGCGCTGTAATTCAGATTCCTCACGCGAAAGAAATGCAGAACCGTAAACAAAAGGAAATAAACAGAAAATGTACACTGGGGATTATGAAACGCAAACAAAATATGAAGACTGCATAAACCACTAGCAGACATAACCAAACTTCTAGACAATCTGCAACCTCACATGAACTCTTCCTTCATAACCTTCAGAAACACTCACCTGCAGCCACTTGTGGAGGGGTTGTCAGGCTCCGAACTGGCACTGAGGAGACTGAAGGCATTTGAACTGCTGGGCGGAGATGGACTCTGAGAGTTCGAACTACAAAGACAAAATGAGGACATTCTTGTTAACAACACAAAACATTGCATGTTGGTTTCAATGGCAGCTTAATACACAACAAAGCATATTTCAGTAGACAGAATTGCAGAGCATTTCTCTTCGTAGATTTAAGAAACAACGATTGGCAGACATCTTCAAAGCACTTCAGAGTACCTGAAGGGCAGTTTTAAGGATATGTGGGTAGTGCTAGAGAAAAGTATCAAGACCTTTGTAAACATGTAGTTGAGCCTGACCTAAGATAACAAAAGCACTGAGGCACCTTAATGATGCCATCCATGAAGACTACACTATTTGCTAATAGACTCAAGAGATTATAATAATTTCTGTGTGTGTCCACTATGAACTGTAAATCCCCGCTTTTCTGGACCATAGCCCTGGTCATCCAGATTAAGTATTAAGAAATAGAAGTGCTATAAACAGCAACCATCTATTTGCAGTACACTGCTTAGCAGTTAGCAGAGCTATTTAGCCATGCAAGCAGCTTATTTTAGAAAGCAACTTCACAAATAATCCATAACAAGAACAAAACATCTAAAAATAACTACCTTTGCTTTTCTTAAATACGCTGTAAGCTAATATTATAGTGTTTATCTGAGGATATTAATGATAGAACAACTGTAGAAGATTTGCAAGTGGGTAAAAGTCTGAACAGGCTCAGAATGACACAGTTCCATACATATTGTCTAGGGTATGTATTGTTCATCAGAGCTTTGTGGGCCCCTGAGGTTTCTCAAAGACCACCCAAAGGGTCCCTAGAAACAGATAGTGGGCAAAATCACACAGCTAAGACAGCATTTACAGGGGACCTGACATTTCCAAATACAGTACATATACAGGGACTCCTTGAAAAGGTTTAGCCAGCCTATGATCAGAAATTCTTCAGGACATGAAAACATTCTGAAGGGAAGTGAAAACCTGTGCACATTATTACAGTCTCCTACTTCTCTCCAGAATTAAAATTCAACTGATTATTTTTGCACAGCTAGAAGGACAAGCACACGCCTGTTCAGCCCCTGTGTTTTAGATTTTGAAAAGTAACTTGGAGAGCAATACTGGTCTTACTACATACAAACTGACGTCTTAATACACCCATACCACACACTAAAGGCTTTCGCTGAAGGATGGGACGCGTGACGTCAACATGTGAAGGACATCAATGGGTGTGTGCTCAGCTGGTGTTTCGCCAAGTATGTTCTACGGGCAACAAATCCAAATATTGTTTCACCGCTGCACATCAGAACATGTAGTAGGAAGGGCCAACAATTAATTTAGTGCAACTGCAGCATGGGCGTCCTATGATTACTCATATACACAAAGCAGTCTGTTTCTATGGGAACGGACTGTGGTTCACAATAGGAAAATTATTTTCCAATTTTTTTTGCAGGAAGTGTTGACAGAAGACAGGAATATGATTATACCCAGCCACACAGGCCTACTGCTCATGATTCTGAAAGGGTCTTCTCTTTTTGTTGAGCTCTGGCTCCTTCACTGTACAAACTGTAGATTTTAGATTATAAAGATGTAAATTTTATATCAATTCGTCTAGTATCTAGACAGTCTCGCCTTAATGACAAAGCTAATACTGCAAAAATACTTCACGCACCTTACAAAAAGGCAAAAACACTGAAAATAAACTATATAAGAAAAAATATGATATATAAACTATATAAGCACAAGAATTTAAATTTTTAAAAAGGATGTCCAGAATTAGATTTTCACAATTTAATTACCAATGTTTGGCCTCCTAACAAAACAGCAAAATGGGAGCATTTTCAATGTTTCATAGAAAGCACACAAAATTGGATATTTACAGTAAAAAAAATGAATGCCTTTTTTGTTAAGCAAGAGGCTCAAGAAATAACTGAAAGATTGAGGCCTTCCTACAAACCAAATCAAAATTCACACAAAACAATAGGCCTGTTAAGAAGATTTTGCTCATTTACGTCTCAGAAATTGGATCATACTGGTAGTGACACTGCAGAGTGAGAAGGAAGCCCAGCGTTAGCTGAACTTCACCGCAAGTGGCGTCGTCCTGTTTCACAGACTCCGCGCCACTTGTGAAGAGTGCAGCCAGCCCCGCTTTAGCGCCGGCGCGAGACGGGAGTCAGAGCGGGCACCTCTTGTGGCTCTCCGACGACTCCAGGAGGGCGGAGTCCTTCCCGTGGCCGTGGGAGCTCCCCGGCGACTCGTGCCCGTGGGAGTCGTTGGCGCTGGAGTCGCTGCTCTTCATCTCCACGTCCTCGTGCAGGGCGTGCGGGTCCCGCCGGGGGGAGGCCCGCTGGTCCCGGCTGCTGTCGCTGCCGTCGGAGTGGAGGGCCAGCTCCGCGTCCCGCCGGCCCGCGTCCGCAAAGCCGCTCATCCTGTGCCGCGGCGGGGCGGGCGAGCGGCCCGGCGCGTCGTCTCCGTAGGCGAAGCGCGGGCTGGTGGTCTGCTCCTCTAAGGTGGAGTACAGGTACCTCCCGGTACCCTGATCTTCAGACATCGGGTTCTGCAAAGGGCGGATTCCGCACGAAATTAAATCATCCCATCTCCCTTCTTGCGGTGTGCCGGCGAGAAACTCAGAAGGCTGTTGGTAAGCAGGAAATCGAGTCCTGGGCAAAAAAGAAACAATACATTATAAATCAGTCAGAAAGACTAATACACTGGTTGCATATGTTTAAGACTTTCATCCCAAAGGATCCCAAAGCACTTTACATTGAGGAAGCAACCCACTTTATACTCCAGAGAAGGGCAGTAGCCCCCTTATATGCTTTATTAAATGTATTACCTTTACCAACCTCAGGAAAGCATTCCTCTGCTGTATTGTGATGAACAAAAAAATCGAAATGAGGCTGAATAAAACTGCAACATATCCTAACTTTATACGAACATTCATCTGAGGGAAATGGATGCGAGTCTAAATTGCCATTTTAAGAATAAAATACAGACTGTGCTGTCTAGGTTTGAAGTTCTCGGTCAACTGCAGCGCAGAGCGCCTTGCGTTAAAATCATAGCCAACAGGTCGCAAAAAAGGCTCAACCAGAAAACCAATGATTGGCAAGAAAAATAAACACTTCTGGTAAATATATGGTTTCACAATTTGTTGACAATTATAAAGACCACCTTCAGTTAAAGCCAAAAGCCAGCACAAGCCAGCAATGCTTTATCTTCAAAGAAAGATCAGTGAACGGTTTATTCTACCTGTCTCTCTGTGCCCTTTACCGGAGCCGCTAGGTTCAAAGACTAGACAGAATAATTTTAACTTGCTTTCTTTTGTATCTGTGTACTTATTTTCAAATTAATCTGTCTGAAACAAAAAGGTCACAGTAGTATGGAGAACTGAAGGCCTTGTACTCCACAAGGGGATTCCAGGCTTGTTGATGAGGAGTATAAAGAAAAGCCAGTAAAACTACATAGGAAAATAAATATATCCCAACATAAAGTAAAGCTCACAGAAGCCACTTGAAACATACTGTACAGTAGCAATTGGACAGTTATTTAAATTTGGGTTAGTAATATGTGCTACTGTACAACATGTTAAGAGTGATTAGCAGCTGTTTACTTCAGCACTAAATACGATGGCAAGATTACTGTATCTACAAATAGAAACAGGCTTCGTTGCAATTTGAAAACAAGCTTACAGTAGGTCACAGGTTTACAGAAGTACTCCAGCCAGTTAGATGGGAATAAAGTTGGGGAAAATCCTCAAGTTGAGGCTATGTTTAACGTGAACTAAAAAAAGCATTAACTAAAAATACCCAAGTATTTTTAGAGACACATTGAAAACTGCAAGGAGACAAGACTTAATACTTGGGAACATTACGTCCTGCACAAATATCCATGTGGCTGCACACCAAGACTGTAGAGGTAAAATGCAAACAGCACACAGGCCAGCGAAATTGAATTCACTTCAGTTTACTCAACTTGATAACCGCTGCTTCATTGTTCTGCAAACTCAATCTCTGGTACAAAGTCAAAAGTGGCATATGGAAAAAGTTCAAGAGGCATTCTGAGGTCACACACAGAAAGGCTATACTGAGCATCAAACCATGGAGCTCATTCGTGGAGATCTGCTGCAAACCTGACACGTCACAGTCAGTCGTCACTAGCTTGTTGAAAATGACTCAGCTGCTTAACCATGTGGTTGTCTGCCGTGGGCGAAGGTGTAATTGAATAGCCTTCTGCAAAACTCCTTTTTGTTTCAAAGCCCTAATAACCAATATATGCACACTTCTAGCCCACTGTACACTAAATTGCACATACCAAATCCCCTCCCCAGAAAAGATGAGACAATGGCAGAAATAATTCAAATTATATAAATCTATATAATAATTGTGTAGTTTGTTCGATTCACAGTACCTACACTGTTTCAATATACCATCTCTCCTACCACAGGTGAAACTACTGGCTTTATTCACATCTTCACCTTCTAATGAGTAAACAGCCTCACCAAAAGGGCAACATAGCACTGTGCGAGGAACATATATACACTAATACTGAACGCACATCTGTACTCAATTAGTGAGATGAGACATACCTTCTATTAAAAATATGAATAAAGTGACCTGCGCAGATTGAATTCGGGCGATATTCAAGAGAAGCCATTTCATTAAGTGAAGACTCCACTCCATGCCAAGTTTTGACTTAGAGCAGCAGCACTGCTTTGTAAGATCAGAAGTTTCCTGTGGCAATGGAAAGACATGACTTAAAGTTCCTCTAACATCATTATGACAGTCAGCTGTTTGAATGTTCCCAGTTTAATCCAATCAGAGCCAGCGAGTTTCCTGTGCAAGCTGCAGCACAACATCCCTTTTTGCACGTATTACATTTGTTAGGGTTTTTTTGCTATCACATCCTTAGTACTGAATAAAACCAATTTACATCTAACAAATTTAACAGACATCAATATTTTCTCATTTCAAAAATAATTCTGAATTATTCAAACATTTTAAAAAAAATCTATATATTTGTACTACAGTTACTTTAAAATTTGACCTGGGAGACAACATATACATCATATTTCACGGTTTAATCTTTTACGCAGCCATAAGAACAGTAAGACATTTATCTGTGGGAATAGTCTTTTCGTATGAGACCTACGAAAACAATCATCTGTATCACCAGTTTCTGGAAACACCACCTTCACCAAAGGCATTTTTCTCACTATGATTTTGTGCCCAAAATGGGAAGCAATGATTCAGAATAGGACTTCTCATCTCTCACATTACATGTACAAAAAAAGCTAATTGCTGACTTTAGCTGCGATACGTGTGAATGACGTCCTAATGTTACTGCAACAAGCTGCAGTGTCTACAAACACCTCCCAAGGAACTGAGAAAATGTTTCTATTTCCAGAGAATTTTCATCACAAAAAAAAAAAACCATCCAAAAAAGTTCAGATTTGTCTTGGCCTGACATTGGTCTGGTTTTTGTATTAAATGGAATTAAATTCTGAGAAATTAAAAATCTTTGCCTCTTACTCCTGCTACCATCAGGCTATACACCAAAGAACTAAATACCTTCCGAATGAAAACAAAATACTCTTAATTCAGCTAAAGCTCCCATAGTATCACAATAGAAATCTATTTATTATTAAATCAATAAATTTTAAATCAATCAGGTTAGAAAAAACAAAGGTTCCCTAACTTAATCTTTCTAGGGATGTAGTACAGAAGGTTTTCTTGGTCTCTTAAGTGGATTAATATTGGGGGACCCTACATTTTTTCAGTGGGTTTCCTCTGGTTGGACAGTTTAACTGGCATATCTAAACTGCCCCTGCATGCCCTGTTATTAATCAGAAGCTACCAGGACAGACTGCAGATTACTAGTCTCCTAAGAATGTGCCACTTTCTAATAATGGATTAATGAAAAAGACCCCAGAAAAAAACAGTAACCTGGTCTGAAGAAAGCTTGCCAAAATGCTGAATGTCTTGAAAATCAGCACATTGCTGAGTAAGACGCTTATTATCTTTCCTATAAATACTGGAAAAACAAATTATAAATGAGGACACACTGATTTAACATGATTTTACTGTAAGTCATTATTTTTGAGGAACAGGTTATTTGATGCTCTCTCTACTGTACCTATATTGTAGTTAGTACTTTTGTAATGTCTCCTGGAAATGTTTTAATGTATCCTGTAAAGGTAAAGTATACTATTTTTGAGGTGTACTTTTAATTTGATTAAACTCAGGCTTCTTATCCCCCCCCCACCAAGAGTTTCATAACACAGTATTGTATTCAAGACATTTATATAATTCAAAAGTACAAAACTAAACTGAAGGCTCCATTTATATAATATGTTACATAATTTCAGTGGATACAGATAAGAACCCAACTTGCTTTTAGCACGAATGCGTAGCTAGATACACAAAATAAGAAAATAAATATCATATTCATTTTCGCAATGCTGTCTGTACAAGGCACCAATGATGGGTAGGCTATTAATACTGCTCATATAACTTGAACCTTCCTCTGAGATCTGGCCCAAGGCTCCAAACCAACAATTACTTTCGACGTTTACTTGTAGAGAAATGCACAGCACCTCCTCTGGATTCTGGAAAACCACCTGAAACGAGTTTCCATGCATTCGCCAGGCTAGGCCACTTTACCGGAAGTGAAAATATAAATGAATAGACTGTACAAGAGAAATTGCTTTTGCCTCTCCCCCGCTATTTGTAATATGATTCGAGAGTGGGTGGTGCACATCTGTACATCACGATGAAAATAATCATTACAATAACCCCTGGCAGGCCTGTGTGTGCGTCATCACTGCCAATGGCGCACTGAGCTTGCTCCTTCACTTCACTGTCAAACACAAGTGCCCAACAGGCTTCCTGCATGACTGGGTGTCCCCTCATGACAACCCACTTGTGACCCCTTCAGAAAAGGTGCACAATTTTAAAACAAAAACCCGCTTTTTTATTCAGATTCTGGCTCATTTTCCATTTTGAGTAGGTTTTCTAGCCCATCCTCCGTAGTTCCCAATTGTAGGACTCAACAATTTCTGTACATAAGTGTCTGTGGTACATTTATAATAATAACAATAATAACAATAATAGCTTACACTTATATATCACTTTTCTGGACACTCCACTCAAAATGCTTTACAGGTAATGGGGACTCCCCTCCACCACCACCAATGTGCAGCCCCACCTGCATGATTAAGGTACTATAATAGGCTTAAACTTCTTAGATCTTCAGTCAGTCTCTGTTGCCATCTCCTAAATTTACTCCAAGAGCCAAAGAAGAAAACTGATGGCCCCATCCTTACACAAAACGTGCCATAGTCTTAAGCTCTGAATGTGTCTCAAAGATGATCTGTAATGGCGCACTCCTACTGACGGTCACTTTCCCCGCAACCATTTTCCAGTCTATTTCAACACACAACCCAGATGATACATCTATTTATGGCACACGCTCTTTGTAAACCAATCAATATTACCCTTTCCATACAAACAACAATAAAAAGTTCTGCTTGAAACAGAATGCAATTTAAATTTTTGCTTTATCACAAGGACAACCAAACACTTTCTTCTGCATTAAAATTCCTTTAAGGTTCTTGGATTTACCTACTTCCCTCTAAGCAAGTCCATTTCCTTCACAAATCTAAAAAAAAAAAAAACACTGGTCCAGTTTCATAGCAATCTCACCTCACCAATGTCCAAACTCCTCAATGAACTAAGTTTAAACTACCTTGTCTCATACCTTTACTAATTATTGTAGGTTAATAGCAAGAAACAAAAGATACAAACCAAGCATTGTGACTAAAATATGCCATCCTCAAAGAATACATTCAAATTTACAAGTACTGCAATACATTTTTTCTTTGCCATTCCTTCACACAATACCATGATGGGACTCCCAACAGGTGGTTCACACGTTTAATTTTGCTGTTTGTTTTCTTCTGTATGCTTGATGTGTTTAGTGTGTCAGTGGAAAAGTATAATATCTAAGGTCAGCAAAGTCCAATAATTTTACATTCTAGAACAGGCTGATATGATCTGCATGCAAACCCCTGTTTTTTTAATTCCATTTGTGACTCCAAAAGATCATCTTATGAATCGAGTGAAGATTCTGCTCTTCGTCAGTTTTTCCAGACAAACCAAACAGTTAGACTCATGAAATGAGCCTTTTCCTATCAAGCTGCCCTTCAGTAACACTTACATCTTCAGCTTTCCCCCCACCAGCCTCTACAGGCAGCAGATAAGCTTCAATATGAAGTTCAATACAATCTAAAAACTGAATGCAACATCTATAATAAGTACTTTCCGCATGGTATTATATTCAAATAATTGAAGATAGTTTAGCCTTGGCTTTTCAATACAAAAAAAAAACAACTTTCCTTCAAGTAGCAGCAGATCAGGACAGAGTGTGAAGCAGCATTTAAGTCCCTTAAATCTCAACTTGAAGGCTGTGGGTTCAAATCTTGGGTCTACCCCTTGAGCAAGGAGCTTGTCTTAAATTGCTTCAGTAAAATGCTCTGCTATATGAATGTGGACAGATTTGGTCTCATCCATTTAAGCTAATTATAATAATTCCACTTTCCCTTTAAACTAATAAAAATGTAATGAAGTTTGATTAAACTGAGAACTGCATTTGATCTTGTGCTACTACAACATGTGGAGGACTTCAACTTGTCTTATATTATATTAATTATTTATAAAAGCATGATTGAAAATTAAGGGCAGATATAAAACCCCTCTCATTTGATATGCAAATTAAAAGCCACCCAAGTATACAATCCACAGTATACTAAAACTGGACATTCATCAACAAACGACCTACACGAAACATTTTCATATCATTTTTATTTCTGATATTAATCACATTTCTACCTGGATATACAACCTTAAATGAATATGAAGATTCAACTTGTTTTGCAATCACAATAAATTATACATGTTTAAAAGGAGAAAATACAAATGTACCCTTTTCACTTTACCAAGATCGGGTAAACTGTAATGAACTTTGTAAAACTAGCTAGATAGAACCAGCTGTACTGAATATGCTTCAGCAGTTCTCCTTTATCATGCAATTAGGGTTCAAAGATTTATTTGCCTGGCACAGAGGCTGTTCAGAAAATTATAGATAAGGAGGGTTTTAAAACCTGATAGAAAATGAAGATTGATTTCAAGGTTGGGAAATCATTTCATTTCGAGTTTCATTATTCCCAGATAATAAACTTAAACCTTTTTTGTAATTCTGACAATTGATCATCTAAATCCATAGATGTACAGTAGTATCCACAGGTAGCCCACACACCCACAAAAATGTTACATCAATAAAGAAATATGGAAATATGCTGTAACACAACCAAACCATCTCAAAAACAATGAACATAATGTTTAAAATTCCTTACAACTCCGATATCCATGCAACAGGTCTGACTGGCAACTCAGCATACTGTATACAATATAGAGGCACAGCTCAGTAAAGCCAGCTTAAGGTATTTAGGGCATATAATGTAGGAGAAACTATCATGCTGTATGTCTAATAACCTGTTTTCAGTGGGACAATGGGCTGTAGGGATATCGCATGAAGCAGACCAATGCAGCTAACCCTTAACAATCTCTTAAAACCGGCATATTCAATAAACGGACTAATAAATATTAAGGAGTGTATATTTGTGTCATCTAACATGTCGAGACAAACAAGGGTGAAAACGGAACGAAAGCAGAATATATCGCAAACAAAAAACTGCGAAATCTCTGTCAGTTGATTTGGAATGGTTGCACATTCAGGATTACACAGCTTTGTTGAATTACACCCACGCATAAGGCATTAGTTCGCTTTCCATTTGAAAATTAGGAAGAAAAAAAAAAGATTTTCTCCCTATCACGCGTCTAGTCAGCAACTGGCTACACTAGCCTACATCCTCCTGTCGCAACTGACCCAGATAGCGCCACCAAAAACTTGCTCTTAAATACCCCAACCCTTATAGAGAGCACACTGCACAGGTATACCCCAGACGAGTCATTTCACACACCAAACTATATATTACTGTATCAGTCGAATGAGCGAATTAACTTGTTAACAGGGGTATTCGTTCTAATCGGAAATGCAATAATGGTAGAAACGATGTCGTCATTTTAAGTGCAAGAATAATACTATATTACAATCAAAATACTTTTTATTTACAGCCTATGAGCCTCCATGGGTCACGAAAATATATCACTTCAAACGAATACAAGTATACTGGTCGCCACACTGGAGTGGACCTAATATCCTGGCTCTGATAGTAAACCGGCTTGATATGATACCGAGTGAAGCTCTGAAAGCATCTTTTTCCAGCTCCATGTTAGTTTTCCCCCTTTCAATCTTTAATATATATGACCCATCATTAAGAAATAAGATGTGATAATAAATACTTGCCTTCTTCACTTAAAAACGACAAGCTCACGACCGGCAGGGTCTGCACTGACTGTAGCAAAGTTGCACGGCTGGTAACTGGATCAGCGAGGTCAAACCCGAGAGACAGGACTGCAGATAAACTCTCTGAGCGCCTGCAGCTCTGTCAGCCTCCGCGATGAGGCAACTTACTCGCGTCCCCCAGCTCTTTCCGTGCAGGAAAATGAACCAACACGACTATGTACAGTAGGCAGGGCAGGTGCTGTCAAGCAAGTGCTACTCCAGTGACCCACCGCAATCCCAGAGGAGGAAAAAAACGTTGACCCACCGGTGGTACGCTTACATAACAGACCCCCTATTTAAAATAAAAAAATTAAGTCGCTAAATAAATCAGCGCGGCGAACAATTCTCATCTGTGAGAATGCAATACATGCAATAACAGACTGGGAAGAGCAGGCAAACTTTAGAGCACCGAATCACTCTTCATTTCATTCAAGCTAACAGAATCGCCAATCCAAAAGCGTGTCACCCATTCTCTAGTGTTACACAACCAGCTAGCGGGCTGTCTAGCACAGTAACACGGATAACTCTTCAGCCGCAAGAGCACATAAGCAAAGACAAACCTTGCGCGGAAACCCAAAAAGTAAAAAAACGGGGCTCAGCTCGTCCCTCCCGTTGCTCTCCTGTGTTTGGTTTTACGGCAGGTAGCCTCCCGTTTGTGTCCTCAGGAACATTTGCTGCGCTCCAGTTTCTGAGTCTCGCTCGGCTCCACAGCTGCCCCGAAAACCTGGAGTGGCAAACGTGACCTCAATACGGGCTCCGCCCCGGCTCGGCGCCCATTGGCTCCCAGCCCCGGGTTTCCATGGCAAATAGTAGGCGATGAAGTCAGAGGACGCCAATTGGCTCGACGCGCCGCCAATCTATTTATGTAAGGCTGTCATAAGACTCACATGGAAAACCATGTTTGCAGGCAATGTGGGCGATTTCGTAGTAGTGTAAGCCCTGTGCTAACTGAATGAACGCTGCTGCTGGAAGGAGAGGGTTTGGTATTGGATGGTGAAATTTCGTTGATTGTTATCTAAACTATTATACAACTATTTTTTTGTGTGTGTGTTTCGCTGGCATTCCCTTTACTAAACACGTAATAGTCTGGGGGTGAACCTTTCTAAACTGCTCTGTGGTGCAGTTTTTTCCAAGAGGGCACGCATGCAGAATTATGTAAGTGATTACGGCATTTGTCAACTTGCACGTCTGGATGATGTTGCGTAGAGACATTTGTCGGCTGGCACTTACCTTTTTAATGTTATGAAATAGCGTGGTGGAGACACTATGAAATTCATGCATACAGCAGTACAACAGACTTCTGATCAATCAATCAGTGTTTATTTATCAGATGCACAACAACCAATAACCATTTTCTTTCCTTACCAGATAAATGAATTTGTTTGAATAAAGTTTAAGCATGTATAAAAAGAAGGTCTACACAATGCAGTTCCTTCACAAATCGTTGATAATTGTATAATAATTCTATGGATTACTCGTGCAGATACTCCGTTTGTTTTGTTTGTTTTTTGGTTCTGGGATTGTGTGGTTGTTGCAGATACCGCACTTATGGTATGTGTCCATGCGATTTTGGGGTTTGTTTTGTTGTCAGTCCTGGTGACTGTTGTGTAACGCCAGCGACATCTGCTCCGTGGTCTCATGCTGTCCGTGTGGACGCGGTTTCTTCACGAAACCCGGTTCGGGTTCTGAGGTAACAGGAAGGAACGCGTGCACGTGCTGAAATTCAGTGTGTTCCACTGATATAATTCTGCATCGGGGCTTAAATGGCGAAACCATCCCACATTTTTGCTAAATATCTTCTGGGGATGAGGCATTGTCCTGTACTGTATATAAAATATACATTTACATTATTAGATAGAGGTTGTTGCGTCGAGGGACGAAAACCGTTACTATAAGACTTCTATTAATCCCACGTTAAATAGCTTTTTATGATGAAACAGGGCTACTGCCGTATATCATTTTTGGACCAGATCAGTCATGAGTGAAAGCGCTACGCTGTGTTGACAGGGATGCTGTTTTAATTGAATCATTACACAATCACAAAGATCTATGTTTTCCCATTACATAAGGCGACACTGCGGGCCACATTGTGATATGGAGCTACATTTTTATTAAAACACCTGCAAATCAGACGGTGTTTTTGAGGCACGGCTTATCTCAGCACTTTTCACGTGGATTGTGCTAGTCTTTCTCTTTTATACGATTCGCTATTCGATAAAAGCGTTAGAACCGCCAAAGCGGCAGAATAAAATGTATTAAGTTCTAAGCAGAAAACAGAAAAGTCGTTTACTACATTTAGAATATTGTCATTTAACTACTGCTAAGAGGAAAACGTCCTCCTATGTGCTTTAGTCTAGAAAGTAGTACAGCAGAGTTAGTAGAGCAGTAGTACCCCTTTTGGGTGGGGCATGTGTAATTTTTATAACATTTTATAAGTGCTTTAGTGTCATGGGGGAGCCAGAACCTATTCTGGCAAAGCCATGGACACAAAGCAGGATACACTCTGGATGGGGAACCAGTCCAATTGCAGGGCACAGGAAGTTACCATATGACTCTGGACTGTGGAAGAAAACCAGGGCACCCAGATGAAACCCACACATACATGGGGAGAACATACAAACTCCATCCACACAGCATCCCAGGACCTGAACCCAGGGCCCCAGCGCTACAAGGCAGGAACGCTAACAGCTGAGCCACCGTGCTGCCCCATAATGTTATATATCCCTTAAAATTCAGATTCTACACTTCAGTGTACAGTTCTTACATTTCATTGAAAGTATCCTTCTGTAATGTGCGGTAACATCTTTTATGTATTTTTAAATGATTGTCTTTTGAGGCCCAGTGTGTGGGACAGGAGTGGGTCATGTTCATGTGTTTATTACCACAATGGCAAAAACATTTTTGTTACAGGCTTGCACTCAAGGAGCACCAACATTTCAATTCAAAATACTTTATTCATCCTCACAGGAGCAATTTAAGTGCAAAGTTTTTTAATGCCCTAGTTGTACTGACTATTTTTCTCTACTATAATTATTGTAAAAACTGCAGTTATATAGTGTGGGCCAGTTATGAAAAATAACATCCCTAAAATTTTAAAACAATGTGACAGTTGTTAGATTTGACTTCTTTTTACACTGTGGATGTCCAGACAGTGTCAAAGAAGGATGTAGTGAACATGAGTCTGAGAATCCATCTTGGTTGCAAGCATGTTACACTCACTACTGAAATGTCAGTCCCTCTCACAAGCCTCTTGCTGGATACCTAGGTAACGTGTGGGCGGTTATAATCCACCACCAAATCAGGTATAGAAGTGAGAAATTACTTCACCGATTGAATTGAGAAGACTGGACTTTGGCCAGGGCACCGAGAGAACAACTCTTTCTGACAGTGCTGTCAGGTCTTGACTGGGCAAGCAATCAGGATCACAGGTTAGAGGCACATCCGAAGGAAGGAACCTCTTGCAGTCCAACGGTCCTTGTTTCCATATTTGAGGAACAGATTGGAATTCCCAGCGTAAGGGTAAGAGTGACCCCTAATGGTCCACCCAATAAATATACTTGTGCATCAGCTTGAAATTCCTATGCTGTGAACATTTCACAAGCTCCCTGTCAGAGGACTTTAACCTGCTAATTTATAAGGCACTGAACAGTCTAGCTCCAGATTATCCTAAGGAGATAGTTTATACATGGGTTCATACTTCATGCATGAATGTAGTCCAATTCCCATTCTTAGTCACTACCAAAGCCCAATTTCCTCATAATCAGGCAACAGATCTTTTTGTGTATAACACCATATCCACAACTATTTGTTTTCCTCAAGCCCAGTTACTATTGATTTTGTTTTTTTAGCATCAGGTTTTGAGTGTTTGAGTTTTACTGTGCTCTCTTTCTCAGTTGTTTACTTCTGTTACATGTATTTTATTTTTGCGTTATATTACAGTACATTTGTTTTGTGATATTTGCTTGCACATCAAATTGTATTCAAATTGAAACAACTGCATTCGCTTTAACATGTGGGCACAGTACCAATAAACTCTATAAATGTTTAAATCTACCATGCAACAAGATATAAAGTATGCACTGTAAGAATTGTCACTGTTGCAACAATCAAAATAAAAGTTTTTATCAAAGAAAATTGAACCGTGCATTTTCCAGGAGGAAAATTAAGGAATTGGGAGCGACCTTAAGATGACTTCCAGAATTGGCACATACACTGTATCATTGGTTAACACAAGGAATTGCTGGAGAGACAAATGACGTAAAACTTCCATTTGCTAAAAAAAAATCTTGGCAAGTATTCCACTAGAAAGGAATGTCTCTGGGTACTTGGGCTTACACATAAAAAATGTTTTAAAGTAACAGCAGGATGTCTGGTGGAAAAGTCTTACTCTGACTAAGAATTAAATTATTTTAGTGATACAGCCTGAGACAGTTAATCCTTTAAAACATAATTCATCATAAAGGAGGTTTTGTTCCATGAAACCTTACAGTACAGTAGGTATATTCTTAATACCTGATATACCTGAATTATAACATTATAAGCCCAACTTCACCACAGATTGGAAAAGTAAACTAAAACAGCTGTACATTTTGGAAAGTTTCATTCATGCCCTTTTCCGAATTTATGCCTCAGTAGGTTTCAGTCGTATGGAAACATTCGTAAGAATCACTGGAGAATTACCTTGGAAAAATTCAAAGTGAAATCCTTTTGAACCTTTGATGAAGTTGTAAGTGATCTATGCAGGTGCTATTTGGATTACTTCTTTGATATGGACACAGTGGTTAATTCTTACAAAAGATAAATATAGTGAATGTCATTTCCATACGAGCTATGGCAGAAATACCAGTGTACAGTCCAAACATTAATTGCACCATTGAAATTTCAACAGCTGAACAATTTAAATAAACTTTTAAGTATTTTGACATTACACTTTACAAGTTACATTACTAAGACGACATGTGAATATACAGTAAATAAAAAGAGTACTGAAGAAGCATTTTTATAGCACGGAAAAAAATCCATATTCACAAAACTGTTTTTATTACTATCTTTTAAGGTTACATGAATATCTAATAAAGAGCTGAATGTTGTTTGTGTTAAAGAGAGTTGGAACACATAATTGCTTGCTAAAGGAAGCTTTTTAAAATGTCTTGCTAATATTATTTTATTGTAAGTGTTTTTATCACAAGCACCAAATTTGCTTGGACCAGAAATTTAAGAAAAATGCCAGGAACTAGAGATATGTTAGCTCAGGATATAGAGGTTGTGTTGTGAGGATTGTAGATAGAGCTGAGGAGGTACAGTGAACTGTTTAAAAGATGCCTTCCCTAATTTCTACCATGAAATGAATCACTGCTCACTTTTTTCAACACCATCTCTGACTGGTTGGGGAGAAGTGATCTTATCCAAGCCTGTGTGACATCTCTACCTTTTTCAGCAAATACTCCTTCCAGACAGTAAAGATTAGAGGTTGTCTAAATCATCTTGGAGAACACTCAATGATTTCCTGTCTAGTGGCCAATACGTCTTCAGATGTTTTCCCTTTGGCATCTGGCAGAGGGAATGGCTGATGCTTGAGGTTTATTGTCAGTACGGTGTTCAACATGGGGAAGTAGAATTGAGGAATGGCTCCATTTATGAATGAACTAGTGAACATCCCCCTGAAGTCAGTCTGGACTGCTGTTGTTACGTTTCAGTGCCATAGGATTCCAGTATCACATCCCCCTGACTAAGCATGACTTTGCCTAATCTCA